TTCCCTTCCTTGCCCTCAAAACAAGAAGAGGGTACAGAGATTGTACTCAAAACTACAACCTGAGGCACATTTTTAATGTACATTTGAGTACATAGAACAGAGAGCTGTTAGATTTGGAGCCTTCAACATCTTAAGTTAAAAATTGTATCTACATCAAGATTTCTAACATACCTTTATTTAAGTGTAACATAATCACTGCATTTAAACATGGTTTTTAAAGGTTGTCCACATAGTGCTCATTGTCTATAAAACATTTGCTTCTTATGTGAATAACGTGCCAACACACATCAAGAGAACTCAGGAAAAAAATCTCATTTTACAGGTTAACTGCCCCCCACCCCCGAAAAAGAAAAATCCTTCCATTTTTATCGATATATTTGAGGAAGCCTAACCATATGTGAGATTCCAAAGGCTTCCTGTGACTTAAACATCAATTTACGTGCACCCAAAATATTTGATATTATCCACTCTTGTAACTTACTAAGCAATATTTGAATCCAACATAGTGAGGTTTTAGTCTCCCAAAAATAAATTTGCAAAAGTGGCTGCAAATACCTTATATATAAAGGAAAAGATGACAAATGCTTTTGGAGGGTGGGAGAAGAAAGACCAAATGCTTAAAAAAAAAACTACATTACTATACTCTGGACACTTATTTGAATAACAAGACTATCCAGAGTTGTTTGTTGCTATTAGTTGTTATAATTAACATTGGAAGGGCTGTTAAATCTCATGCTTTATAGCTTAAACCTATCTGTAAATGTTATATAAGAGTGAGACCTTATCTGTGGGTGGCAAATTATCCCACATCTGCATAATGCAGTGTTGTTATTGCTGCCATTGTAGCATCTGATACTAGCCACCTTCGGAGATGGGATCCTGAACTAGGTGACTATCAGGTCTGATTGAGACTTGAGTTCTGTATGCAAAAACTGCCAAAAGACTTCAGCAAATCATGCGGAATAAATAACAATTGATTTTTTTTCAATATCCATGGATAGTATCAAGGGATCTTGAATGGGCAGAATACAGAAAGTTCTGTTGTACCAGGCTACCTTAAGTCAAGTCTAAGGGTATGTCTACACTACAAAGTTAATTCAAGCTAACGGACGTTAGTTCGAATTAACTTTGATAGGCGCTACACTAGCGCTCCGCTAGTTCGAACTTAATTCAAACTAGCGGAGCGCTTAGTTCGAATTAGGTAAACCTCATTCCACGAGGACTAAGCCTAGTTCGAACTGACTAGTTCGAATTAAGGGGTGTGTAGCCCCTTAATTCGAACTAGTGGGAGGCTAGCCCTCCCCAGCTTTCCCTGGTGGCCACTCTGGCCAACACCAGGGAAACTCTATTGCCCCCCTCCCGGCCCCGGACCCCTTAAAGGGGCACGGGCTGGCTATGGTGCCCGTGCCAGGTGCAAGCCTGCCAGCACCCAGCCAGCAGACCCTGCACCTGGCACGGCTCGAGCCAGCCACCTGATGCCCCCCAGCCCTCCCCCTCTTCCCGAGACCAGGCTGGCGGCTCCCGGGAGCTTGCCCAGGACCGCAAGAGGCGGGCACCCGCCTGGTCCAGTGTAGACATCGTGGACCTCGTCCACGACCTCCGCACTAGGCACAGGAAAGCGGCCGTCTAGGGCAGGAGAGCTGCCAGCCTGGCCACCCAGGAGCAGGTTTGCATGAAAATCAAGGTGGTCCACTGAGACCCCCGACCCTGAGCTTAGAATGGCCGTACTGGGTCAGACCAAAGGTCCATCTAGCCCAGTAGCCTGTCTGCTGACAGCGGCCAACCCTAGGGACCCTGGAGGGGATGGACCAAAGACAGTGACCAAGCCATTTGTCTCGTGTCATCCATCTCCAGCCTTCCACAAACTTCGGGCAGGGACACCACTCCTACCCCCTGGCTAATACCACTCCATGGACCCAACCTCCATGACTTGATCTAACTTCTCTTTAAACTCTGTTCTACTTCTAGCCTTCACAGCCTCCTGCAGCAAGGAGTTCCACAGGTTGACTCTTTGCTTTGTGAAGAACAACTTTCTGTTACTAGTTTGAAACCTGCTACCCATTCATTTCATTTGGTGTCCCCTAGTCCTTCTATTATGGGAACTAATGAAGAACTTTTCTGTATGCACCCTCTCCACCTCACTCATGCTTTTGTAGACCTCTATCCTATCCCCCCTCCATCTCTTCTTTTCTAAGCTGAAAAGTCCCAGTCTCTTTAGCCTCTCTTCATATGGGACCTGTTCCAAACCCCTCATCATTGTAGTTGCCCTCCCCTCTCCCACCTCCTTTTCCCAGTCTCCCCCAGTTTTGTTCAATAAAGAGAGATTCTATTTTTGAACACAATTGTCCTTTATTTTGTACATCAGGAAGGGGGGCTAGGGAGGGGTAAGTGGAAGGAGGTGAGGGAGGAATGGGGTACGAGCCCCCGATGGGAGGACTGGGCTGGCTCTGTGGGCTTCTGGGGGTGGAACCTCTCCTGCAGCCCCCCCAATTGCCCCCTCTCCCCAGATGGCAGCCTGCGGCAAGTGTAGCCGGTCTGATGGCCGAGTGCTGTGATGTGCCCCGTGTGGGTACTCCGGGCAATCCAAGCCAGGACTGCTTTGCAAGCGGGGCACCCCTGAGAACTGTCTGTCCGGGGCGGGGGTCGGGTCCCTTTAAGCACAGCCCTCGGCTAGCCTGAGACAGCAGCTCCACGCTCTTAAGTCCTCATCTGATGCCCTGCCGGCACTGCTTCCGGCCATCCTTAACCCCGGTTCAGGGTCCACTCTGTGTGGACATGCTAGTTCGAATTAGCAAAACGCTAATTCGAACTAGTTTTTTAGTCTGGATGCCTTAGTTCGAATTAACTAATTCAAACTAAGTTAGTTCGAATTAGTCCTGTAGTGTAGACATACCCTCAGATAGTATAGTTTCAGGAAGCAATTAATGTCCAAAGTTTCACATGTATGAATAACTCTTATTAAAGTCAGTGGTAATCGTTAAATTCAAACATTTTGTACTGCTTTGAATCATTTTGAACATTTTGTACTGCTTTGAAGATTTTTCTTGTTTAGCAATTAAGTGCTTGTTCTCGAAGACTTAACCTGAATCTAAAATCCATTAATACATTTTAATTCTTTTTTTTTTTTGTCTCTTTTAGGTTGGCACACTGGATATTTTAGTTGGTTTGTCAGATGAGCTGGCTAAGTTGGATGCGTTTGTGGAGGGGTAATATCACTATATTTATATATTGCTGTTCAGGTTTCATAATGACTCCATAGTCAACCTTTCAGCAGATTGATCTGAGCTTTGTTTACTAGTACCCAGGCTTTCTGTATAAAGAGAGCTAAACGTGCTTTAGATGACCTTGATTAATAAATAATGGTTCTTTGTGGTAGTGCTGCATGCTGCCAAATTTAGGAGAAATGTGTTCAGATCTTGACTTAAGACTCACAGGCAGTGATAGTGAATGTGATGGGCTTTCCTGGGTGCAACCTGGAACTGGAATGCTGCTGAGCACTCTGGTTTACCCACCTCCACTCCCTCTCACTCTGAAATTCTGTGACAAGCTGTAGACCTCTCTAAATACTGCACTTACACAGACATCCAGAGTCATTCACCCAGCTGAATTAAATGAATGCTTCTCCCAGCCACTCATGAATTAACAATAGAGAGACTCCAGCCAGTTTCCCCAGTTCCCCAATCTAGGAACCCAGGGCTATACCATTAGTCCAGAAGCCTGACTAATGTTGGTTCATTACCTAGTCAGCCACTCCCTCAATGTGGAGATGAGCCACATCTATTCTGATTTCATTTGCACTGAGGTCACAGTCCCATCTCTGTATCCTTTTCTTTCTCTCTCTTTTTCTCATCTGAGGAAGTGAGCTGTAGTTCACAAAAGCTTAAGCTAATACCCTAATAATTTTGTTAGTCTTTAAAGTGCCACCAGACTCATTGTTGTTTTACCCTGATAGTACTAGCAGGTTACAGATATTCAATATACAGGCTGAGACATAGCTTGGTTCAAATCTTGTTGAATTTATAGAACTTACATTGCGTACTTATTTTAGTTTTCTTTGGTAGCCATCTTTACCCTTTATTCCTACGAGTTATAATCGCTTAAAAGCTATCTTTCTGTAGTCAATAATAAACATGTTTCATATTTTACCTATAACAGTGTATTGTACGTCAAATGCTGGGAAAACCTCTTATTTGGAATACAAAAGCTAGTGCATATGAATTCCAGCTCAGCAGTTTCTCTCTTCAGTCTGTTTTTGAAATTTTTCTTTCTGAGAATGGCAACTTGCAAGTCTCTGAAACTGTGAGCTTAGGCAGGTTAAAATGCTCCTTCACTGGCTTTTGGATGTAGCCATTCTTAATGTGTGATGTGTCAATTTAGTCTTCAGTATAAAAGAGTCCGGTTTATCCGATGTACAGAGAGGGGTATACATGTGAATGAGCCTTTGATAGTATAGCTCATGTAGTTAGGTTCTGTGATGGTGTCATTAGGGTAGATGTGTGGACAGAGTTGGCAACAGGGTTTGTTGCAGGATGGGTTCCTGGATTAGTGTGTCTGTTGTGAAGTTGGTGGTGCCTCAGGTTGGGGGCACTGACTGTAAGTGAGGACTGGCTAGCTTCTGAAGGTCTGTGAGAGCGAGGCATAGTCATCTATGATAGGTTTGTAGATTTAGACTAATTAAACACTTGGAGAGATTCTCGTATTACAATAAGTCATTTCCCATTCAAGTATTCTCACCACTGTTGGAGATGAGCTACATCCATTCTGATTTCATTAACACTGATGTCACAGTCCCATCTCTGTGTCCTTTTTCTCTCTTTAGCATCTGAGGAAGTGAATTGTAGCTCACAAAAGCTTATGCTTTAATACCCTAAAAAATGTATTAGTCTTTGAAGTGCCACCGGATTCCCTGTTGTTTTTGCTAAAACAGGCCAACACGACTGCCTGTTGCAAACAATACATAGGCTGGAATTCTCCAGCATAGAACCACCTCCACAGTGCAAAGCCTTGGTCCACCAGGAATGAGTGAGGCCAAATTATGATGTCAGTACCGCTGTTTTATTGTTTCTTCTAGCTTGCTGGCGGGATCCTTTGCTATGATCTGGGGCAAGCAGTCTCCATTGTAGGCATGTTATTTTTGAGAAGTCTCTGGCTCTTTCAAAAGAGAGTGTCTAGACTACAACCACTTCTTTCAAAAAAGCGAGCCGCTTTTTCGAAAGAGAGCACCCAGGCAGTCTGGATGCTCTCTTTCGAAAAAGCCCTGTTAACATTCAAGAATGGGTTTTTTCGAAAGAGCACTTTCAAAAAAGGTGTTCTTCCTCGTAAAATGAGGTTTACCATGGTTGAAAAAAGCGCCGCGTTCTTTTGATTTAATTTCGAAAGAACGTGGCGGCAGTCTAGATGCAGGGGAAGTTTTTTCGAAAAACTGCCACTTTTTTCGAAAAAACTCTTTAGTCTAGACACACCCTCAATTGTATATAGTTCCCAGATAGTCCCTGGGAGTGCGGATTCCCTTTAATGGGCTATCAGTGTGTTTGGTTGCTCCATTGTTGTCCCTGAAAGGCTGGTTATGGACTGGTTCCCAACCTCACAACGTATTTCAGTAACGCACGCATAGCAAGACTTCATAATTTCTCAGCAGGGGTGGAGGGTCCAGATGCATGGGGGTTGGGTGGACACAGGGATCAGCTTCCTGTATAGTGACCCCCTCCCCCTGTGGCTGAGGCATGATGGGGCCAGGAAATGGTGGAGAAGGGGTCACTGTATGAAGAGCTGCTTCCTCCCAGTTAACTCAACCCCCATGAATCTATACCCTTCCCACATTACTCCTGCTGAGCATCGCCCCTTATACCAGGGATGGGTAAAAGTCTAGGGTTTTGATCCGGCCAGCGAGGCAGTTCCAGTCCTGCCCCCTAGCACAGGGGTTGGTAAGCTACGGCACGGGTGCCACTTATGGCATGCAAGCCGATTTTCAGCAGCACGGGGAGGGAGCTCAGCCCCACTCCTCCTCCCCTGCACAGCCACTGGAGAGTGCTTCCTCCTCCCTGCAGCAGGTGAGGCAGCACTGGGGCTAAGGCTCCTCAGTGGTGCCTCAGCCAGGACTGGAGATGCCGCTGCCACAGCCATGCAGTCTGGGGCTGGCCCCGGAGGCTGGGGGGG